GGCGGCCCCGCCGGCGGGATCCGCGGGGCGCTGGGGAGGCACCCAGGGGTGTCCCTGGGGCACCGGGGGTGGCGGGGTCCGTGGGGAGCTGGGGAGGGACCCACGGGGTATTAATGGGTCCGTGAGTAATTGGGGAGGGAACACGGGGCATCAAGGGGGTCCACAGGGCACCGAAGACTTTGTGGGGCACTGGGGAGGGTCCGAGAGGCATCGAGGGGGTCCTTGAGGCACTGGGGATGGTCTGTGGGGCACTAAGGAGGGTCCACGGGTCATCGAGAGATGTTTGTGAAACACAGAGAAGGGTTTGTGGGGTGTCAGGTGTGCAGGTGGCATCAGAGGGAGCGTTTGAGTGGCACTGGAACTGCTGACGTGGCTCCAGAGAACGTCCAAGAGGCACCAGGGAGCATCCATGGCCTCTGAGGACAGGTCCTGAGGCACCATAAGGGTCCACAGGGCATTGAGAGGGGAAAGTAGGGTATTGGGGGTGGAGGGGAGCACTGGGAAGCCCCACCTGGCTCTGAGGTGCTGGAGGGGCTCAGAGGGGCTGGGCTGCCACAGGAGGCAGTAGGGCTAGAGTTGTCCATGGGGCACTGGATGGGGACTGTATGTGGGGCATGGGGTGGGTGTCCATGGAGCACTGGAGGTACCTGCTTGTGTCACTCCAAGGTGACAAGAGGGGCTGGAGAGTCCAGGGACATTAAGCATGTCTGATGGACATGGAAGGGGGTGTCTTTGGGGCACTGAGGTGATGGAGCTCTAAGATGGTGGAGAGTCTGGGGCCACCGTGGGGGGCTGAGCTGTTAGGGGCCCTGCAGGGAGTGTGGGACATCAGAACGTATCAGTGAGGCATCTGGGACCCTCCCTGATCCCAAAGAATTGGAGGGGCCGGAACCACCATGTGGGGCTGATCTGGGATGCCCTGAGCTCTCACTCTGCCACAAAGCTGACTGGTGTCTACCCCTTGTCCATGGAACACCCCAGGTTGGAAAAGATCTCTGAAGATCACCTGGTTCGACCTGTCATGCTAAAGGGAGCCTACATGAGGTTATCTGGCACCTTGTCCAGATGCATCTGGAAACCTTCCAATGATGGGGACTCCACCACATCCCTGGGGAGGTTACTCCAGCAAGTGAGTGTTCTCAGGGTAACATATTTCTTAGCAATATGATGAAGCTTCTCGTGCAACCCATCGCTCCTTGTCTTTTCCAGGTGTTTACTTGTGAAGAGAGAACCCCATCCTGAAAACTCATGTTTTATACTTTCTCAGTGTTTTGGGCCAGGACCAGCCAGGAAACATTCGGAAACTTTTGCATGTAATGGAAGATCAGGATCAGACACCGAATTTGGCTGCCACAGAGCTCTGTCACCAGGGACAAATACTCTTCAAAATGGCAGAGAGACCCCTGCAGACAAGTGCTACTCCAGTGTCTTTACCCTCCTGGTCATGACTATCTAACCATCTCCAGTAGGGTTGTCCCCACCACAGTGATAACTCTCTCGAGGTACACAGAGCTGAGCTGGCCTTGAAGGACCTTTTCTTGCCCCTCTCCTGGCACCTCCTGGCTTTTGGTGAAGGGAGAGAAGACACATGTCCACCTCCTGCTTGGGGTTGGCAGGACCAAGGTCTACTCTCAGCTAGACCTGTGTGGAGACCTGTCCAAGCACCCTAAGCCCCTCAGACAATCAGGCATCCACGTGTGGGCCACAGTTCTGTAGAAACTGAATCATAGAATCCCAGATTGGTTTGGGTGGGAAGGGATCTTCGAAGGCCATCTAGTCCAACCTCCTGCAGTGAGTGGGGACTAGGTTGCTCACATCTGAAAAATTAACATTTCAAAACCAACTATGACTTCTGCTGAGACTCAGTGCTAGGTGGTTAATTGCACCTTAATAATCTATGAACAGCTTCAATCCTGGTTTAATTTAAATTGGGCAAACTAGTTTTTTTCCTGCAGCAGCCACCACGCTGCTTGTTGGTTTAAGAAATGTGTGTGTGACCAATGGTGACACAGGGAGGTGCCAGGGGAGTTTCTCTAGCCCGAGATGTTGGACACCAAGGGCTCCTCCAAAGACCTGGGCCCCTCTGCCTGAGCTCCAGCACAGGCCGTGAAGTCTATAGGTCCACAGACACTTAATGGAAATGGGAAGTGAAGTTTTCCAAGCCTCCCTGGAGAGGCCACCTGGGTGGGGGGAACAGGAAACTTTCCTTTCCTACCCCTGAAGAGCCGGATGATACTGCCTGAGGTCTTGGTCCTCAAATCAACCTTCAAGTCAGTCCTTCTGCTCCAGGGCTGGTGGTCTCCATCCTCTCCTTGTGTGTCTCTCCCTCTGCTAAGCTAGAGGACCAGCTTTAGGCCACCAGAGCGAAGAGGACATGGCTCTTTCCTCCAACACACTCTAAAAGGTCCTTGCAGAGGAGGAGGTGAGGGAGAAGAAGGAACAGTCACACTTAGCCCTGTATCCACAGCACATCTCCACTGAGGCCTCTGGGTCTCTGGCATGTGTCTTTGTTACCACTTCCCCCTGGGAGACACTTCTCTTCCACCAGCTTCCAAACTGGCTCAAGCAATTTTTCTGGCTGCACAACTCTGCTGAGGACCTGCCCAATATGACATGGACATCATGTTCCTGCTCATTGCCTCCAAAGCCCATCTTTTTGGTTAGAGCAGCTCACCGACTTCATTCCTGCAACACTCCCAGCTATGCTCTCCTCCCAAAATGAAGCCAGGTGGCAGCCAAACTAAGTCCCTGTGAACTGACCAGAATTTATTCACCTAAAAGTTGTACATCGAGTTCTGTCAACAGACAAAATAATCCTGATACTGTTTTTTTTTAGTTTATTTTATAACACACAAAGACATCAGTTTACAGTGTTTATTAAAAAGAAAAGAAAGAAAGAAAGAAAGAAAGAAAGAAAGAAAGAAAGAAAGAAAGAAAGAAAGAAAGAAAGAAAGAAAGAAAGAAAGAAAGAAAGAAAGAGGCTTAAGAAAAGCCTCTCAGAAGACAAAACCCATGGCAGACATTTCAGGGGGTTGAATATTCCCATGTCTCTCTGGTACAAGCCTTGGGGCTCGTTTCCAGCTGGCACTGGGGGTGTAGAGAGAAGGGTTGAGTTCTGGTGGCTCAAAGCAAGTGTCTGGTTCTCCACTGGTGAGGATGCAGTGGTGGGGCTTGGTGGGGCCTCACTGGGCTGTTCCAGGCAGGCAGGCAGGCAGGGGAGCTGCCTTCTGACTGCGCTCAGCAGACATGTGCTCCAAACGCTCCGTGTAGAAGCCATTGAAGTCCAACCTGAGAGATAAAAAACACTGAGGTTCCAGGAGGCCACCAGTTCAGCTGGGCCCAAAGGTGGCACACAGCCAGCCCGGGGACCCCTATGCAACATCCTCGCTGAGGCAGCAAGGGGATCCAAAAATACATCAGCTCTTTTCCGGGGTTGGATGAATTTGAGGACAAATTGGTCAAAATAAGGGGTGTGAAGCCAAGCCAGGCAAGTCTCGCTGTGCCACAGCATGGTGACACCTCTGTGCTAGATGGCAACAGGCCAGATGTCACCTGTTCTTTACAGGTACAGAAAATACAGGGGAAAGGATATATATAGGAAAATACAGGGAGCCACAGCTTGGCCACACAA